TTCATCTTTTTCCGGCAACATTTGTGGTGTTTTCGGCCAAAATTTGAAGTAATAAGTATTATATGTATTATATGAGGATCTTGGAGTCCAAAAATCATATATAATTCATATTTTTTTGTTAATTTGTTAAGGATTGAATTTAGAATATTGTTGTTAATATTTACCCTAAATCTTACCCTAAAAAAATTAAATTGATCAAAAAAAAATTCTTGTTCATATATACGAAATTGATGTTATCGTTAGGTTATGTAATGTGTTTTTCACCCTAAAACAAGAAAATAAGGTGGGAATGATCATTGTACCACTATTATTGATTATTGTACATTTATTTGTATGTATATAGTACCACTTTAATACTGTTTAGTACCACATTTTTTTGGGACTGTGAAGTTTTACTTTTTTATTTATCCAATTATTGTTAGATACATGGAAGGGGCACAAAGTGATCTACTAGGGAGTTGTACGTACAAAAATGAATTGTTTGTGTTCTCTATGCACATTGGATTAACGGTTGATGAAGTGTACAATCTCATATCTAAGAGGTGGCCGAACGTTAATATCAAATCCGTCGTGCTATGCTATATTGCGCCAAAGGAAAAAAAGAGAGTTAGTTTGTCGGATGATGAGGATTTGAAGAACATGATTCGATTACATGTGTGTTGGAAAGTAAACATAGTAGAAGTGCTTGCCCTTGAAATACCATATAAACTGCCCTCCAAAATTCGCGCCCTCGAAATTCATTTTCGCGAGCTACCGCAAACTCGCGAGATAGGGACCAGTTACAGAGGCTAGAATTCGCGGCCGCGAATACATGGCCTATCTCGCGAATCCCCATTACCTCGCGAGTTCCCTTTACTTTGTATTTAGAAGTGGTACTAAAGACCGGAAAACATGTACAAATGTAAAGGAACAAAGGTACTAATCGATCAACAAAAGGTACTAATCTTGAGACAGAATAATCTTACCTACTAAAAGTAAATGTAATGAACATATATTCATTACAAGTGGTACTACACCCAATATCTGATACTAAAATAGCGAAAGCTGGTATTTACGTATTCTAGATCTGGTACCAATTGTTGCAAATGTTGACCACAATTGAATAATCCATTTTCGTTGACAAAAAGTTGGTACTAGTTGACCACGAACAGGTACCACGTAGAACAAAATGCAGTACTATATTGTATAAAATAGGTACTATTTTAAGAAGCGTAATTCAACATGTCACCATGACATGTGGATCGTTCACGCCTGATTTCGATGAGAAGTAATGAAATTTAGAACATATAGTTACAACATTTTAAAACTCATACAAACTAATGTGAGACTGATTATTGGCCATATAAACATCATTTGCCACCGAAATTCATAGTTTCTATGTGTTGATTACAAGTGGTACAAACTCGATATGTGGTACCACATAAACATAAAGTGGTGCTGTCTTACTCTAGATCTGTACTACTTTTTTTAAATATTGACCACAATTGAAATAATCTATTTTTGTTTTCCAAAAGTAGGTACTAATTGATCAATAAAAGGTACTAAATAGAAGAAAAACAGGCACCATTTCAGCCAAAACCGGTACCATAACTGTATTAAGTATTATTTTTCCATTATTGCGTTGATTTCGTGACAAATTTACAATTAAATTTAATTAACCAAATTTTATATATCATATAAACAAATGTGAGAGTGATTATGGGTCGTATAAACCTCATTTACGATCGAAATTCGGTGTTTTAATATGTACATTACATGTGGTACTAAAGATATGATATGTGGTTCTGAAGTCCCATAAAGTGGTACAACCTTACTCTAGGTTTGGTACTACATTTTTTTAATGTTGACCACAATTGAAATAATC